TTTCTCTGGCAGCAATGGAAGGGGAAAAAATAAGAATTCTGCGATCGTATTCTAACAAACGAGGAAAAATTTATTGGATACATTTTTACAATTTATTGGATACGATTTTAGGATTACGAATGATGGTGTTAATTTTTTTTAAACGCTGCAAGAGGAATTTCAATTTTGTTTCAATTAACAAAGGGATTATAAGACGATGATATAAATTGAGAAGGAAATTGAGAATTTTTGTAAAATAATTCTTTACTCCCTCTTTAAATCGAAATCTAAAATCTAGCTTCTTTATTTCTTGTTTTTTTAATCGATGTGTAATTACATAAATTATATTGTGGTGACATTAATTAATTTAAATCAAATGAATTTTCAATTTTTGCTTATTTTAAAAAAAGTTGATCTTAAAAAAATGTTTTTTTTTTTTAAAGAGCACTTCAGTTTTTTTTTCAATCGGCCCAAGAATCCTCGATAAGATCAGAATCTTATTGTGCTATCCGTGCATCTGCAAGCAGGATCTAATCTTAATCTCTAATTCTTATGCAGTGGAGCAGATGTTTCTTTATCGAGGCGAAAGGTACCCGCATCCTTGTCCAGTTGAATTTTAATCGTTCATCGCGATTTAAATACGAAAGAAGTTTATAAAGTTGCGAAACGGAATAATTTTTATCGAGATAGAAAATCTCTCTTCGTTTTATTATTTATAATCATTCGAATAAAAACAAAAAAATGTATTTCGAGTTAAAAATCTCTATTTCTTTTTAACAGTAAAATCCTAGCAGTAGAATATTTATCCTACAGTTATTCCTCTTCCTTCTTCCTTCTTTTATACCGCATTTAACTTTCTTTATTCTTCTGAAATAACGTCGAAACGAGATGTTGACGTGACGATCATTCACAAGCAGGATTTATCGAGACCCGGCGACTAAGATTTTCAAGGATCATTCCTCCTCTCTCTCCCCCCCCCCCTCCTCGAGTTCTGAAAGAGATTTCGAGCTAATACGAAATTTACAGGCAGTACGTGCATCTATTTTCGTGATTTCGATGCTTCCATAGAAGATCCTTGCGTGACGTTTTCTAGTTTTTAATCTCCAATTTTTCCCCTTAACACGTGATATCCTAATTTACAAAATAAGTATTTATACGATGATTTAATAGACTTTCATAGAATAATATTCAAGAATATTTATATACCAAAGAATATCTTTATTAATTTATCTTTAATTCCTTTGATAGTTTATAATAAAAATTGAATCCAATTCTTTCTCAGAAATTTTACGTATAATCATAATTATAACATATACTTGGTAAATTTTGATTGAGATCAACGATTTTATTCCGTTTCGAATGATATTCTAAAAAAAAAAAATATGGACGTATCAAAAACCTATAGATTTTGATTAATATGATTTTATTTTAGAAATTGAGAAACGAGAGATATGCATTGCAAATTCTGAAAATTATGTTTTGCCTGAAACGTTTAGGGGTTTGTTTTAACGACACACGTTGCGAAAGGTTTTCGCGATCGATCGTCCAAACATTTGCAGGAAAAACAAAGGGGAAGAGTAATGGAAATTTTTGCAAACTGCCGGAATATTGACGAGACTCGGTAGAGAAGAATTTTTAATCGAAGCACTTCGAGTGAAAATCGGACTCGAAAAGAATTATCCCGTGAATCTCGTTCGGATAATGGAGTGCGAAAAAGGTGGATTAATATTTTTCCCGGAATTTTAGCGAGATTCAGTCGAAAACTTTTTACTTTTATCCCGTTGAATTTTTATATCCATACTTTTATCTTTAATGCTTACGTTAGCTTAGTTCAAATATTTACTTGGTATCCTTCAGCATTCGTGACAAATTTAATACTCTCCTAAAATAAAATATGTTCCTATGATTGTAAATGATAAATACATCATCGATACGAATTTTTTAACCAAAATATGATAAATTTGTAAAACCGAAAGATCGAAATTTTTTAAATCATTCTAGCTTCTTTGAATTAAAAAAAAATGAATAATAAAAGAAAAATGAAGAGAAAAGTAATATTGCATAATTTAATAAAAAAAGTTATATTATTATTCATGATTCATAATCGTTTCTTTTTCCTTTATGGGGCAAATCGAATGCAAAGTTTACGATCGACGTAAAAAACATCTTGAAATCTTTCTTATTCCAGGAATAATCAATTAATTAACCAAAGTATAGATCGGAAACTTAATCAAAGTATACGAATCCTTTCACACTTTGATCAGATCGATCAATTGAGATCTGGATTCCGTTATTCCACCAAGAGAAAGTGCGAAGTTTAAACGCAGGTTTAAAGTTGGCGCGATAAATTGCCGATGCATCGATTCGTCGGTCTTATTTTGTCGGAGAAACGCGAATGGCTACATATGGCCTTCTTCGAGGCTCAAACTTACACCTCCGTCGACAGGGAAAATCAATAAGGGGTTGGTTACGTTCCCCTGGACGGACTCTGTTGCTTGCACTCGCGCAAAAACCGACTTTGGCAAAAGTTCCTCCGTGTCTATCTTCGCGATTAATCATGATGAATAAGATGATTTTGCTTTTTTTGCTATTAAATGACGATATTAGAGTTTATTGAATATAAATCGTTTAAAACGAAATCGAAGAACGTAAACGTGCATTAATTTATTTTCATAGAAGAATATATAGAGAAGAGGGAAAATTAAAAACTTAATTTCAACCGAGAAAGAAAATCAAAGATTTTTATCCGTTTTTTTCTTTTGAAAAAAATATGAAAATTGACAATTAAAATTCATTAACTCGATCAATGGATACAATCTTAAAAAATTATCCAATATTACAATTTCAATACAACGATAAACAAAGTTTCCATCGTACACACGATGATAAAAGAAATTCTCAATTTTATCAACTCAAACCAGTCACTATACAATTCTTGGAGAAATTATTCAAATATATTTATTCAGTATTAAAATTTCTCAATGGATAGAGTTTCGATCGAAACGCCGTTGCAACCAATTAGAAACGACCGCTTGGAGGGATGATTCGAGCCGGAAGCTAGCTGTGGATAATTCAAATTAGGTTCATTTACGCGTTGTTCCCGGGCAATCAATGGATGGAATCGAATTTGTCGATCGGAGGATTTCTCGTCTCTGTAGAACAGAAAATAAGTAATTAAAATGCATAATGTTTCATAGGGCTGATCCTAAACCCACAATTATGCAACATCGTTTGAAATTGTTCACGAGCCCGTTTTCATTATCGCGCTCATTAAGGCTTTCACGTGCGTGGTTATTGTCACGGGTTGAACGAGCAGGGGAGAAAAAGAGGGACATCTCTCACCGAGTCACAAATCGATTCTAATTGAATACAATTTAACCGTGAAATTAACGCGGACGTGAAACCATTGACTGCCCGCGAGAATCTATCAGCTCTCGTTTTGTCCTCTCTCGCATGATCGATTCTATTGGGAATAGACGATGGTTGCAGAAAAGTATTCGAAATGGAGTATTTTTTTTTTTTTTTTTGTTTTGAAAATTTGAAGCGTAGTTTAGAAACAAACAATTCGTTGTAAAAAAAGAAATATTTAATTTTAGATAGAGAAACTGTATATGTGTACGCATGGTATAATAGATCGTAAGTGATCCCATTTAGGAATGAAGCCCACGTCGATGTTAATCGATTTTAGAGGATTAATTCGTAATTAGTGTCAGTTGGATTGAAAATGATGTGCCCAATTGGATTAAGTTAGTTATTCCCGATTTGCAGAATAATTTTGTTAACCTCGGAGAAATTCTTTACCTATTTATAAAGTTTTTTTTGTTTTTTTTTGTTTAAACTTTGTGTAAATTTTTATTCATATTTTCAAAATTCAAATTTTAATTTCTCTTCTCCCCAAAGTATAAAGAATTGAAATTTGATTCAGCTTGTTCCATCAACAAATATTATTTATTGCCAAATCAAATTTCTTATTCGAAACTTGCAATCGAGATTCGATCGATGTTTCATTATAGATCGCAAAATGGAAACTTGGTTATAAATTCCCCATAGATTATTAATCAGAGTTGCTAGCTGCATGGATATGATCGCAACCGCAACGAAATTTCGCAAAGAAGCCCAAGGGAGGGACGTATATATTAATAAAGTTACCGAGGCTGGCCAACAACACCGTTTATTAACGGAACTGTTCATCCTGTTCGGATAATTTGCAATGGAATAATCAAACGTACTTCTTAATCCACGAAATTTTCACATTATTCTTATCATTTACGCATATATCTTATTTATGATCGAAATCCATTATACACATAATTTTTTTTCTTCGAAAATTTTGCCTCCTTTATCGATGCATTTCTATCTTTTTTCGAGGCTTCGAGGATCGCCGTGCTTCCTGTCCACGATAAAAATGCCGACTTTTTCCTCTTCTCTCTCTCTCTCTCTCTCCTTTTTTTTCTCTCCTGTCCCTGAGGGAAAAGTGTGGCAAAGCAACGATTCCAAGTGCCAGGCATCGCTATAACGCGAAACAGATGGCCGGAAGAGAAAGAGGCCGATTATTTTTGCATCGACGGTTTTGCGGCCTCTGTTCTCGCTTCTTTTTCTCGTCTTGGGGGAAAAAATTTGTTTTATCCATGCGTATATAATAACTTTTGCGAATAGATTTCGATCTCCTTCGAATTGTTTCGCAAGGGATGATTTCGAGGATTCGAAAAGGATTGTTGAGTAGAAATTTTTGCGACAAGAATTAAAAAAAAAGGGGAAGAAGAACATATAAGAAAAAAATCATATAACCACTTAATAGATATTACCACTTGATAATATTTAATATATCGTGAAATATTGAAATTTATATTGAAATTTTTCAAGTCACTTTTTTAATAATATTCATCCATCATTTATCTCCTTTATATTCCCTTCTATCCCTTCACTTTCATAGAGAATTCTATTTATTTTTATCCTTGTACATTAAAAAGAAGAGAAGAAGAGAGAACATTTTCTGACATTTGAAACATTTTATCTTACAGATGGACAGACAGTGCCGACGTTGTGCGAGCTCGCTGCACGATGTGTCGCGTCGCACATACCGTTCGAGCTGGTGGAGCACGTATATCCCCCTGTCCCGGAGCAACTGCAGCTCAGGATAGCGTTTTGGAGTTTTCCAGACAACGAAGAGGATATTAGGCTGTACTCATGCTTGGCGAACGGTAGCGCGGAAGAGTTCCAGCGTGGCGAACATTTCTTCCGGTTGAGGAGCGTGAAAGACCCCCTGCAGATCGGTGAGCGATCGATGAATTTTCCTTTGAAAATTATATTCTTTTCTAAGTAAATCTCTCCATCGATTTGTTAGATTATTTAAGATTTTCTAAGAGCTATAGCGAAATTAAAACGCTTCTTGTTTCGACGTCACTTGGATAATTGGAATCATAGCACTGGATGTCTGTCCATTTTCTTCTTATACTACTTGCGGGCGGTCGCGTCCAGGAAGTCGGCTATAGTTTCATTTTATTCTTCGCTGTTTTTTTATTATCGTAATGTATGAATTATTTATTTATTTATTTATTTTACTTGTATGATGTAAATTGCGTGATTATTTCTGTACAGTGGGATGGACAAATATTAAAGGAATAAAAAGAAGCTTTGATAATCAATAATAAAGAAATAATTTTAAAGTATCAAATATATTATTGTGTTATATATCGAAACATATACGTCGTTTGGGTTTTTATTCCTATATATATAAAAAACATAAAAATTATATCAGTTTTTAAATAAGTATAAAATTAGAAGAAACAATTTTAAATGAAAATTCATTTATATTTTCATTTATCTGATCTAATTAAACAATAAAAAGAGGGAGTGAAAAGAAAAAATAAAATGTGGGATTAATGAAGGCATTTCTGGAGGATAGTTCTGTTCCACGTGTAGACGTCGGTGATTAGTAGACCGATAACTCGAGAACGGGTCCACGATACGACAAGGTATCGCGATTCAGGCGTCTGAAAGTTGACCAGCTTCTTTATTCGAGAAACGAAAGGGGCATTATGTAAAGTTCTGCATCGAGAAGGCGTAGGTTTGCTCGAAGGCTTCCCTTTTAGACGGAAAACAAGACGGGATAGACGTAATTGGAAACCTGACCCTAATAATGTCTCCTCTATACAAAATAGTATCACAGAATCTCCTCTTTATAAGTCGAAATGAACGAATAAAATGTGACGAGGATCAATGAAAGAAATCATTTAATACGGCGAAGAACCCGATGGAATTAATTTTCCCCATTTATTATCCCTTTAATTTTTCTTTTATATTTCTTTTGTATCATTTTCCCGTCAAGTGAAATTATTTATTGGCTTAGGAAAATTTGAAACTTTGAGAAATAGACGTTTTATTCGAAAGTTGTTATCCTGTGGATGGATATTAAAGTGAAAGTGGTCTTCGCGAGCGTGGTGTGGGGCTTTTATCGATGTAAAATCTTCGGAATTTTTTTGAGAAACGATCTCTCCAGACATCATAATTATAAATTAATATTTAATACGATGGATCTTCAATTATCGAATATTGAAAACGATTGAAAATTCTAAAGTACATGTAAAAATAATTGCAACTAATACTTTAATATTTCCAATTATAAATAGTCGTTCTTCACGATTGTGAAATTTTGCGTTCCTTTAAAGCGATATAATAATACTTGCAAAAATAACAGTATACACGCATCTCTCGACCATTACCTGAATATTCTTAGTGACAAGATTTATGATGCATCGATCAATTATTGAATCAATTCGGTAATTTAAAATCTATAAACAATTTCTCTCGAATTATTTTCTTTAATATTCTTATAGCTGCGACTATATAAATAATTAAAAAAAAATGTCTAAAACTCTATTAATTATTCTTATTTTGAAACGTGAAAGTAATTTCTAAATTTCGATTTATCCTTATAAATTGCGTTATATTTCACGTTTCTGAAAGTGGCTATATTTTCACTCTTTTTTGTCCCACAAAACAATTTTTTCGATTCAACGTATTCCTTAAGAACGAGCTTATATACGAATCAATTTAATCCCTAATTTCATTGTTTTATCAAGCTGGTTTCGTTAATTTGCGCTGCGCTCCAAATACAGAATGGCGCCGTTTTCTGTGTGTACCGTTTGTTGGGCGTTTGTTTCTTAATGCACTCGAAACGACGGCTTTATCTCTCCTCTTAGAAACCTCGTGTCCAACGTCTTGTTGCTGTATCGTTTCCATTCGCTTCTAATCTGATTCTTCTTCTTCTTCTTTCTTTTCTTAATTAGTAATTGCCATGAGATCTCTCGAAGGATATGCGATGAATCGTTGGAGGAATTTGTTAAGCTATCGTTACTTTTACGAATTTCCTTTGATTTCGAATGAAATGTAAATTGAATTTTTTAGTAATTTGTAGAATCTTAAGGGGATAAAATTTTCGAATATCGAAGTTGTTTCTTATATTTTTCTATACTTTAACATTGACGAAAATTCAATTTCGAGATTTTGTTGTTCTCGAGAGAAGTATTCAAAGATGAAACAATAAAAGGAGATAAATCCATTTTCTGATAATTTTCGAATTGTTACGAATAATATATACTTATAAATAAAAAAAAAATCCATGATGTAAAATTAAAATTCGAGGTATAACAATGATTTATATTCAACAGGATTTCATCTGAGTGCAACAGTGAACTCGCAGGGGGTGATGAATGGTGTCAGATCACAATTCAACGTCGCTGTCACTTTTGATCGGAGGAAAATCACATCTTGTAACTGCACTTGTTCCTCTAAGGCCTATTGGTGTGCTCACGTGGTCGCCGTTTGCCTTCATAGGATACATATGGTAAATAAAATTATCTTCCTTATTCAATTCGATCGATCGATCAATCAAAATCATTAAGAAATGTTTTAACTCGAACTTGAATCGTTCATATAATTTTTTTTTCAATTCTAGAATAGAGAAAGAACTAAATAATAATAATAATAAAAGAAACAATCCTTTAGTCACGTAAGAGATTAATAGCGTGGTCATAGGATCTAACTCTTCCTCTATTTGTATTCAGCCGACACAGGTGTGCCTGAGAGCTCCAGTTAGCGAATCCTTGTCACGTTTACACCGGGAACAACTGCAAAAGTTCGCGCAATATCTCATCAGCGAGCTGCCGCAGCAGATTCTGCCCACTGCCCAGCGTCTGTTGGACGAGCTGTTGTCGGTTCAGCCAAGTACCATCAACAGTTACTGCGGTGCCCCGGATCCCACGGCAGGCGCCTCTGCTCACGATCAAACCTCCTGGTACCTCGATGAAAAGACTCTTCACGATAATATCAAGAAGATTCTTATCAAATTTTGCGTACCCGCTCCTATAGTCTTCAGGTCATTATCGTCTTTGTATTATTTGTTCTTTCATTTTTATCACTATTATATTAAAAATCAGATTGCAATGTTTTTGAATATTCAATTCAATAATACATAGAAAATATAATCATACTTCAATAGATTGGTGAGTCGAGGATTCAAAGTATCCATAATATTTAAGACAATGCAGAAGTTATGAATAAATCCACAACACAATGATATATATTTTTTCTTGGGACTGTCTTAAATTTTTCTAAGAATTTGTCATTTGATTTTGGATAGACGTAGAGAAGATTTAATATGAAATATATAGTGGATAAAAATCTACAAATATTGATAATTATTTGTGATAATTATTTATCATTCGATACAAGAAATTTAAAACTCAGCTTCAAGATATCTTTTAAAACATTTTCATTAATTCTTTTATTTTCTTGGAATTACAGTGATGTAAATTATTTGAGCACTACTGCGCCTCCTGCAGCTGCCGAATGGTCCTCGTTGTTGCGACCGTTGCGAGGTCGTGAACCGGAAGGCATGTGGAACTTATTGTCGATCGTGCGCGAGATGTTTAAGAGAACCGATCGTAATGCCATACCATTGTTGGAAATCATCACAGAGGAGTGCATGGCTTGCGAACAGATACTCGTTTGGTGGTTCAACACGAAAGTAGCTCTATTGAACGGGACCGGATACGGCGGTAAACACAACATGAATAGCAACGTCCATGCATCGCAGCACGCTTGTTCGTCACTGTGCGACGAGATCGTCGTACTTTGGCGATTGGCTGCTTTGAATCCTGGATTATCGCCTGCTGAACGAGATATGCTTCACAGTCAGTTCACTGCTTGGCATATGAAGATTATTGATAAGGTATTGCATTATATCGTCACAAATATATACGGTTTGTTCTTGATTTTTCATTTGATTTTAAATTTAAAATTGAGCAATACACGCATAATAAAACTATTGTAAAATATAGATATAAGATTAATTTTTTTGAAGTTTGAAATGCAATGCAAAGAATTTTAAGTTGAAATATATATATGTGGATTTTTTCTTTGTTTAAGGTTACAAAAAGTAGAGGCAGTTCGGTAACGCACAATTCACACAACAGAAATAACGGTGGCGGACACAAAGATTCATTAAAAAATGACTTAGCCGTGTTCACCGGGTTTAAATCAGCGCTTGAGGCCTGCTACTTGGATTGGGAAGAATACACCTTACCCGGTATCACCTACACTGCCGGAAGCAATCCTATGTATCATTGTCCGTTCACGTGCTTCCGACATGCAGGTGATACTAGGACTGAAGTGAACCAGGTTAGTTTATCCCCCATATTTCTGAAATTTAAATTATTCAAAAAAGAAAAGGAATTTAATCAGAACATATCTAATTTAAAAAAAAAGATAAAGTTGTTGTAAAAAGATATTCTAATTAATATTTGATAAATTGATTTGATGATTATAGGTGAATTCGAGTGCTGCCGTGTTAAATTGTCAACCACCGGTTTCGCATCATCACGGTCGACGACCTTTGAGTTTAGGCCTGGTAGAATTTAGTTATATGGACAGAAGACGGCTGAATCCGCGCGAATGTTCAGGTCTATGCTCACGAAGCGGCGGTGGTGATGGGAACCGAAGTAGTGTCAGTTCTGAAGGTTTCTGCGAGAATGAAACCGATATGCCTGATATTTCCGAGCCTCAAGTAGTTCTCGTTAGACGATCTTGCGCTCAATTAAATAATTGCGGGGACACAGATTCGCAGGTTTGTCTCGTGAAAAAATTTTTTCCTCGAATGAAAAATAATTAAAAATAATAATTATTGTCTATTTACTATAAATCAATGAAATGTTCTAGGAGGGTGGTGGTAGCGAGTCGTCCTCCAATAGTAATGTCAGTCTGAAGAACGCTCAAGACTCGGACAAGCACCGCTCAAACGCCTCGTCCGAGACTCATAGTGATAGTAGTGATAGTAGTAATAATAAAGCTACCTGCGACGCGAAGTGTAGCAGGACGAATCTCGATTACCGAGAGAAATCGCGAACAGTGATGCCTAAAGCGAACAGTTCGAAGAGCGAACAAGAATCCGACCAGGAGAAGGATCCTTCCAGGAGACCCTCCAAGGATGAGAGTTCATCATCGAGTAGCGACAGTCCGTCTGGTGATGAATATCATGTTTATTATTATGATCCTAAAGCTGTGGTAAACACGAATGGCGCATCTAGCAAAGATTCCAAGAATGAATCACAATCCACGTCCACTCCGAACGCGAGTACTGTGTTGGGTAATCTGATGAAAACGGAAGATCCATGGGACATCTTGTTCGCCAGGGCGGAAGGACTCTACGCCCATGGCCACACGAGGGAAGCTTGTATTTTGGGTGTTCAACTCGCCGAGGAACTGTTGGCTAATCCCCCAAATCTCATGATTGATGAACCGCCAGCACCGGTCAAGGGGAAAAAGAAGAAGGTAGATTCATTGGAAAGACTTGGTTTCGTTTGTTCGATTCAGTAAGGCCCTGTTCCAATTGATCAGTTCTAGTCACTGCGTAACAAATACAACGACAATGTTTTAGCAACAAGTTAATCCGGCGTCCCATCAGCTTACGTGTCTTGCATCCGCCACATTGGCTAAATGCTGTTTCCTGTGCACCGTTCTCGCAGAAAATCCGGAATACTATAACTTGGCGTTTAGAGTTGGCTTATTTGGATTGGAAATGGCTAGACCGCCGGCTAACACAAAACCATTGGAGGTAAATTAATATAGCAATAGAATGAAAGGATTTTTTTTACAAATATGATGGATATTTTAGGTAAAATTGGCTCATCAGGAGAGTGAACTAGTGGGATTATTGAAAAAAATTCCACTTGGTCTTGCGGAATTGGCCATGGTTCGACAAAGAGCGGAACAACTGAGGGATGGAGTATTGAGATCCAGGGGACATGCGCTACTTCCAATTATGTTGGCTAGTTTTATATTCGACGCCCTTAATACATCAAGTATGTTATTTTTTTTTTTTTTTTTTTTAATTAAAACTTCTCTGAGATTTGATTGAGTAAAAATACAAGCTTGCGTAATTCGAATCGAGGACGAAGGATATCTTCTTTCAGACAAGAAAGAGTTAATGATTAAATAGTGTAGACGGAAGATAAAAGATTGTGGAATGATTCGCAGGACTAAAACACCTGTCCTCAGACGTTGACGAGAATCTTGGGTTTGATGCGGCCGTGGCTGCTCTGGGCTTGAAGGCGAATGTGAGCGAAGCTGATCATCCTCTTCTTTGTGAGGGAACGAGACGCCAAAGGTGTGTTATTATAACTCGTATAAATTCAATTTTGTCTATATAAATTTTAATAATCGATTTCTTTTATTGAACCTTGTAAATAATATAATTTTTATACCAAGTTTTGATTTGATTATTTTAGAGGAGATTTGGCTATTACATTGCTCGTGCACTATAAGGATGAACCTACGAAAGTAGCAAGAATTATGGACAAATTATTGGATCGAGATGTTCATCAGTTAATTAAATCACCAATTCTCAGCAGTTATTACACCTCTAATCCTCCTACTAAGAGCGAGGTAAAAAATTGTTTTTTCAAATTCATTAATTTTACATATCTAATGCAATAAATTGGAAAAATAAATTAACAGAGAGAAACAAATTAATTCTATTTCAGATGACAAGATATCTTCATGATGAAGAATGCTCTTCTCCTCTTGCTGGAACGGATGCTGGAAATGGCGATAGTGTGGTTGGTACTAGCAGTAGACCACACAGTAGCACTAGTGCAGAATTAGAAACTGGTATGAATACACTAACAGTTCAGCCGCAAATAGTTCAACAACCTGTGCCTACTAGAACTAAAGAAACAAGGTTCGTATTTTAATATAATAACAAATGAAATTTTAATAAATTAAGAATGGAACATTAGATGATAAAAAGATGTAAATCTGGAACTTTTAAAAATTCTATTATAGATACAAAAGCAAGAGAGTATATCCATCAATTCCCAATCAACCATCAGAAGCAAGTGCACACTTTATGTGTGAGCTAGCAAAAACTGTTCTCATAAAAGCTGGAGGAAATAGTTCCACCTCTCTATTTACACAAGCATCCACAAGTCAGAATCACCACGGACCGCATAGAGCTCTTCATATGTGCGCCTTTCAACTTGGTCTATATGCTCTTGGGCTTCATAATTGTGTCACTCCTAATTGGCTTAGTCGAACCTATTCGAGTCATGTATCCTGGATCACTGGACAAGCAATGGAAATTGGAGCACCAGCGATTTCGTTCCTTATTGAAAGCTGGGAGGGACATTTGACGCCACCTGAGGCAGTCGGTATAGCAGACAAATCATCTAGAGGAAGTGATCCTAACATGGTTCGAGCAGCCGCAGAACTTGCATTATCTTGTTTGCCTCATGCTCACGCGCTCAATCCTAATGAAGTCCAGAGAGCTATTTTACAAGTAAGCATGCAACAAGATTTATGTTTTCAATAATAATTTTTTTTAATGATGTTTGTAAATTTTTTAAAAAATGTTTAATTATTTTGTTTGTTATTATAGTGTAAGGAACAAAGTGATCTCATGTTGGAGAAAGCTTGTATCACAGTAGAAAATACAGCTAAAGGAGGAGGGGTTTATCCAGAAGTACTGTTTCAAGTGGCTAAATATTGGTATGAGCTGTATCTCAGAGTAAGTACATTTAAATAAAAAGAAAGATATATATCATAAAAGAAAATCTGATTAATTGAATTTTTATTTTGTATATTTAGCATACTCCTGGTGGAGAACAACAAGATGATATGCCACATGATCCTTTGCAATTGGATCTCAACGGAGTGCTTCTAGTAGAGCCTGGTCCTCCAGTAGATATGTCCAATGGGCAAATGATGCCTGGACCAGCTCAAGCAGTTGTCGTGACTAGTACACAGCCACCTCCTCAACCATATCCAACGCATCCAACTATAACTACGCTGGCTCCTTTAGGTATATTTAAATTTTTAATTTAACATATGAATTTAATAGTAATAAATTTTAATTCTCTAATTCTATTTAATTAACTTTAAATTATGATTCTTTTTTTGGATTTCGGAGGAGTTGGTATGCCATACGCAGTTGGTCCTTATAGTTTCGTGCATCCGCATCACTCAATTCCAACTTTTGGTGGGCCGATGCCGTCGCATAGGGTAACTCTACCACCAGCACCACCACATATGCAAATGTATCATGCGGCATTCCCGCCTCATCCTGGTCATCCGCAACATCCACAACATCCGCAACATCCGCAGCATCCACAACATCCACAGCATCCGCAACATCCTCATCATCCAACACAACCTACGCAACCACCATCGCTGCCGCAATATTATACACCGCAACCTCCACCGCCTCCAGGAACTCATCATTTGTTCACCATGCAACAGCCTATGCCAGTTAATGTAGGTATTTCAGATTAATTAATTTTAATCTCTTATAATAAAATCTTCGATATGTACATATTTTTCATTAGGTACAAGCGGGAGTGACAGGACCTATTCCTGGTCAAGCACAGCCTATAATATCTACAGTAAGAACTCAACCACAGGTATGTTATTATAAAACTATTTTTGATTTTTCTTTATATAAGTATTTAAAATTAATAATAATTAATATTATTTTTTATGTGAAGATTCACAGACAAACTCAGGCCTTTAGTCAACAGCAACTTCGAGCTTTGGTTGCTGCGTATCGTGTGGGAATGTTAGCATTGGAAACTTTAGCTCGTCGTGTACATGATGATAGACCGCAAGCGAAGTACGCGCGAAATCCACCCTATGGAGAAGACGTGAAATGGTTGTTGAGAGTATCGAAACGTCTCGGTACTCAATATCTTCATCAACTTTGTATTTGTACAGTGAATAGCATCGTTAGTCCTTTCGTTCTTCATGATGTCGCATTGGAAGCTGCACTTTATCTGGCTAGAAACAACCGGGCTCTAGTACTTCAACATTTAAGATCTGCTTTGTTGGCACCTCTTGTTCATAAGTGTCAACAAATGTTAGTTTCTTCAAATTCTTATTTGTATAAATTTAATTATTTTTAACGAAACTATTAAAATAATTATGATTTCAATGATGACTTACAGGTATATTCAATGTATGCATCAAAAACTATATCATTTAACGTCAGGCGAGTACGAAGACTTTGTCAACGTAGTGTGCGCGGCGAGGGCAGCGTTTCACATTACTCCAGAAGGTCATGTTCAATTCAAAGAGCGGCTTCAATCCATTAAAAGGTATTGTCTATTGAAAAATAATTCCTCTTATTAGTAATTTTCTTTTTTTTGTTTTCAAAAAAAGAGTAAATACTCATTCTTTTAGTTCAATATGTAAGAAATTTTATAATAATAGTGATATGTATGATATTAGTTATTAGTTATATATGATATTAGTTATGTAAAATAAGTAACTGATACTAAAAATATAATTTTATTTTTAGATCTCAATCCTGTACCAAAGAACTGTGGGCACAAATTAACGCAGCGCTACAGCAGAACGGCAAATGACATAGAGCGGAGCCAGGCGTGACGTGGCTCACTTCTCTCCCTCATCCTCCACCACCTCCGCCACCTCCTCCACCAACGACGACGACAACCCTTGTGCTTCAACACCAGCATCCCTGTCTTTCTCATCCACAGAGCTTCGCATGCGTTCACGGGCTGGCTACCCTCGATAAGCTGGAACAGGATCTCCATAATGTGCATCGTCGACGTACAACCGTCGCGCCGACAGTGGCATCGATCACAAATGACCATCGGACCATCAGAGCTAGGGACGGCCGATAATCGCTTTTTATCTTCAACTTTTTTTGAGGAATAGAAAACATAGATCGATTCCATTGAACGGAAATATATATATATATATATTATATATATATATATATAAATATATATAATATATATATATATATATAAAACTTTCTGACTTTAGTTAATGTATCTGACTAATTAAAAACGAGAAAAAGGAAGAAAGAGAGAATTTAGAGAGAAAGAGCGTGCGCGAGAGAGAGTATGATGATTATACTTTTAATTAAGAATACGCGATATGTATGAATGATAGAGAGCAAAAAGAATGACGTTAGGTTTTGCAGTCAACATCACCGACCGTTTTTGAAGATCGAGGAACGATATGTATGATGTGGTAATGCATCGAGATATATCGTGTTGTGTACGTCGATCGCTAAAGGCACCATATTTTTCCTGCGTTTGAAAGAATAAAAAAGAAAATAATAAAAAAATATATATATATAAAAATAAAAAGTAAATATAATAAGAAAAAGGAAAAAAATAAAGACGAAACATGAAAGCATGATAGATAAATCAAAATTTCAGGTTTCGCCAAATGCGAGCAATTATCAACGGAAATTTTAAAGAATCGTTGGTTTAATACTCGCAGAAACCTCTTTCTCTCACTTTAGTTAAGTCTCGATAAACGTCTTTAGCCTCGATTAGATAGGAAATTTTATTTTTCATTCATAGATAGGATGAATTGTCTTGCGTTTTATTTTATTTTTGTAAACGAGTAAGCAAATTTTTAAAATATCGATAACGCACGTCTATTTATATAATGGAAATAACGAACAAGGTCCGATTCGTTAATACATAAGAAAGCGACATACTTTACTTAAATCATTGAACGTCGATGAAAAAAATTTTTTATACAAAAGTAAAAATAATTTTTACTTCTTCTAAAATGGCGACCGACTTCGTCCAACATTATTACCACCATCACTACAGTACCAATTTCCTTATTTTTTTTTTTTTTTCTCTCCCTCTATTAATTTACTTTGCTATCGATTATACTTTAGTTCTCTATCTGAATTTCCTT